CACGGCCAGGCCCCCGCCCTCGTCCTCACCGCGCTTCGGGGCAGCCCCGCGGGGTCAGGACCCCCCACCCGGCCGCGGGCTGCACCGCCGTGCCGGTGCCCGGGGACAGCACGGGCGCTTCTCCGCGGGGGGGGCACACGCCTTCTGACCCCCTCCCCAAACGGGTTTATCCCAGAGAAGCCGCCGTTAGGGACGGCCGGGGGTTCCGAGGTGCGGGCTGGCCCCAGGGCCACCTCCAGCCGTGCCCGGCTGTGCCCCGGCTCAGGGCAAAGGCTGCTGGAGGAACAACCTCTGGCTGCAGCTGGCCGCAGCTCCCTCGCCGAATCGCTCAGGGCCACACCGCCAAGAGAAACCAGCGGCTGCCCCGGCAGGTCTGGGTCACACAGGGATGGCCTCCGAGCAGGCATCTCCCGTCCGCACCGAGGAAGGGAGGGGAAACTGCCACGGACGTGGTGGCCGAAACGACCGTGTCTCCCCAGTTCCCCCGTGCAGCCCGTTCAGGAAATGTTTCAGAACACGTTTGGGGCGAGGGAGCGATTAAGGAGCTTCCAAAAGCACGGGCCTCGCGCACAACGAAAGCGAAACTCGGGCACCGAAGGCAGAGGGTCACCCAGCTGGCCGAGGATTTGGCACCACACGGTTTTAAAAGCGAAACGCAGCTCTAGAGGAAGCCCTGAGAACACCCACACCACACTCGGGCACCGTGTCCAGCGCCGACAGACTCGCGACTATTTTCCATCCTCCGCCACCCTGATTGCCAGAGGAAGGTACGTTATCGAGCGACACTTTCTTGGCTCACAGCCTAGCAGCGCCTCTTTGACATATGAAAGCGTTTCTTGGCTCAGAGGAAAAACTGTGTAGTGTCCAGAAATAACTTGTTTCTGTCTCCGGAGAGATTTAAAGCAAGCCTCCCCTGCCACGATTAGTTGGGCTTACAGAAACACTGATGCGATTTTGCTTTTCAGCAGCAGGAAAGTCATTACCCCCGCTTTATTTTTCCATCAGGAAAGCAGAAGCCTTTCAAACGGAACTTGCTTGTTTTCACCAGCACTGATGAAATAAACCGTAAAGGCAGCAGAAGGGCAGTTTATTGGAAAGAGCGGACACCACCAGCAGCGAGATTGGGGGGAGAGCGACCGCGCCAGGGGCAGAGGGCACAGAGCCTGGAGGGCAGCGGCACAAGCCGTACAGGTGCTGCCAGCGCTCTCATACATGCAGGCTGAAGGGATGGCAAAGCGCTCTCCACAAGACACACTCAGAGCCCGCCAGCCCCAAAACCTCCTCCCACTGCGCTTGGGAGAGGGTGCTCGTGTCCCTCGGGGTGAGGGGCCCCGGCCGAGCAGAGGCTGCGCCGCCAGCCAAAGCCTGGGCCAGGGAAGGGCGGTTCTAGTGAAGTCAGTTACTCACCTCTGAAACATCCTTCATGCACTGAACACTAACGCAGGGAGCCACCGACTGTGTGAAACAGAAAAGCCATCAACGCAACAATGGTCTTTCTTACATATTTATTCCTTTTTTTTCTTGTTTTTAAAGGACAACGTATTCAGACAGCTTTAAATACAACATCCAAGTACAACTTTCTGACGAAAGCAGCAACGGTGCGGCATGTGCGTTTATATTCATACCCGCTGACACCAGCCCAGTCCTGGTGGTAGAGACATCATCGCCTGTTAAAAACAAAAAATCCACATATTTAATATTTCAGCAAGAACTACCATTTTAAGGCACAAAAGAAGTGGGTCAGGCAGAGACAAGACAAGTTGAATACCGAAAGCAGGCACGTAACGAGTCCATGGGTCTTTCGAATCGCTAAGATTCCCACCTTGGCTCAGAGACCA